TAGCACATTATTTAAGCACCCTTCAATGCAGTGGATTTAGCATGGCCTTAATCTGGCTCCTACATGCACTATTTTCTGTAAGAAACGGCAAAGGCACTATGATCACAACTCTCTCAAACACTTAGACCAACACCAGTTTACCTTAGGAATGCTAGCCAATCACAGTTCAGGAAATCGGTCAGACCCTTCCGTAGAGCCTTGTCTATTTGTTGTGTGATCAAAATCGCCGCTGCAGCCTTTTTGTAGTTTCCCCTTTTTTTTTTTAGCCACTGGTAAGAATTCAAGAAAGGGGGATCCAATAATCCCCAAAGATTTTTTTATATAGTTTTTGTCCTCTAATAGTTTTTTTTTTTTTTTTTTAAATCATCGGTATGATTCTTGCAGGAAAATACTCTTAACTCATTTGTACTGATGAACAATGTTTACTATTTTGACAATTCTATACGACTTGGTGTGTGAAGTGTAAATCTGGCTAGTCGGGGGAATACTTAATCCATATCATTTGTTATGGTGATAGCAAATGTGTTGAATCAAATGTTTTTTTATCGTAGTGCTACGAGAGCAGCATGAAAGCGTATCTTGTGTTTGCTTTGACTACATGGTAGTAAATTGGACGTGTAATTGGTCGAGAAGGGAAATCTTAACACTTGGGGACAGTTCCTCCGAGATGTTTGCGTAATGATTATATTAATATTCTCATGCCTGTTGCTGTTCATAATGCTGTAAATTGTTCTTGGAAAAAACCCCCACATTTAAAGTTCTTTCCTGATATATAAATATATGTGAATATTAAGTATTACTGATCAAAAACACTAAAAATGAAGCTGTGCGCGGGTGTTTGAGAGAAAGCTGTGATTGCCACTGAATATAAAGCAGCACGTTTCTTACAAAGAAAATGTTTTTTGCTTTTTTTATGTTTTTGTTTCTCTCCTTTTTCTAACACCATTGAACCTAAAGGGCACTTTATAGATCACTCTGAGGTCATGTCGCCTAGTGTATGTCTTGTCATTAACTTGAATGTGATTCTTTTTTCCCATTCGGAGCACTTACCTGGTGCAATATAAATAGTCTGTCAATCTGGGCTGCTGCTAAGGTGGAAAACGGAAGTGAAGCAGAAACTTCACATCTTTTAAGTCTTTATTTTCTTTTGTCTCCTTGTTCTCCTCCCTTGTGTTTCCTCCCTCCCTCCCTCCCGTGATCCCACCACCCCAACTACTCTGTAAAGATTAGACCTTTTTTTAATGAATGACGGGAAATATCTCTTTTGTTAAAGATTCCACCACTCTCTGCAACTCTCTGTGGTTCATTTAACTTCAGTCAAATAAAAATGAAACTTCTCAGAACGTGTTGTTTGAGTGAATTCACTTTATAGCTTTATTTATATATTACCAGGCTTGGGGAGTAACAGATTACAGGTAACCGGTACATTCTTTAAAATGGGGATTACTAGCATGATTACAATGTTACAGTACATTAAAATTAAACATAAAGAATGTTATATTGAAGCACATGCTTACACACCAAGTAAAACAGGTCATGATTGAAGCTATAGCAAATCTCCCAGTCCATTATTATGTTAGATTTCAAATGCAGATGTTTTGTAAACTGTTGTATGTGGTCTTGCATTGCGCAACTTTCATCGTTGGTCCAAAGCCTGACATAGATTAATGAACAACCGGTTTAAAAGGTTACATTGATCTGTTTAACTTAATGTTTTTAAGTAAAAGCAATATCATTTGTATTTATGTGCACTGCATTTGATATTGAGGCAATCCAAAAGTAACACAAAGTACAGGCAACTATTAATTGTAACATGAGCATTTTGTAAATAAGAATGCTAAATAAAATACTAAAATGTTTACTTGCTAGTTCATTCATTCTGATCAGACAAAAAGTTAGTATTATATTATGTGCACGAGTCTAATTAGAAACAATACAACTTGCAAGATGAATTTATAAAAAATAAAACATTAAAAAGTACATTTATAATGATCTGACATTTATTTTAAATAATTTCTGATTTATATCTTTACAGAAATGTGCTACTTCAAGTGTGCCATTTGTCAAATTAATAATCTGCTTTACAACAAAAGGTTATTTTCATAGAAAAAAAATATAATCTAACATGGACATTTGCTGCTGCTTAAGGACATTATTTGATTTTGTTTTTGTATTCAGAGCACCTGTCTTTAGAAATAAAGTGTGTGTGTGCGCACGTGGTGTGGTGAAGGGACCTCCGTTCATTCACACAGCCAATCTAAGAGTTATCAGCTCCAAGGACAAGCAAATAAAAGCCCCCCCGCCTGTCCGGGGACATTTTATCAAGCCCTGCTCCCCTCAATCTGGTCACAAACAAACCAAGGGCCAACTCTCTTCAGATCCTCCTTCCAAAGCATTCCAGCGGCTCGAAAAATAAAGTCACAAAGTGCAGGTGAGAGTTAATAAGGTAAATCAGAAGAGGTCCAAAAGCATTTAGTTAGTTTCCTATAAAAAGATAATACAGTCCAACAGGCCTCTGAAATCCTGAAACAACAGTGGATGCTAATAAATAAAAAGAATGATCAACCACGATTATTTTATCAACTCTAATTGTGTTCCTCACATGTGGGCAAAAAGGCAATTTGTTCATAACAATCAACACAAATATTAAAAGACTTGCCTTATTGTTACTTCTAAACACCTTTAACACTTATCTAACATAATCTATTTAACATACCTGAACAGTATTGCATATAAAAATACATTTTAAAATGCGCTACAGCTGAATAGGGTCAAAACATGTACCTCCCCAGTTAAATTGCACCGTTTTTTGCACTGCAAGGTTTATGATAAATGTACAAAAGACATTTCTTCAAACGTGCTAGTTGCTATTTCTGTAAAGCTTCACAGACTAAGGGTGAAACTGTTTGACACTGGCATCTTCAGAAGCCCCCTCAGTTGGGAATCCCTGATTTATTGTTCAGGTTCAGAGTGAAGAGAATCTATTTTATAATATGCCTTAAGTGACAGCTTTTATTATGCAATGGATCTTAGGGGACATATCACTTCCTACAAAGTATCTATTAACTATTTTTCATCCATTAACTACAAAGAATCTGTGTTTCCTTTCTTTAGCATGTACATGAAATAAATGGAGGTGGGTTGACTTGACTCTTTGATGCTTTGCTTTTTGCTTTTACTTTGAGACGGGCTAATTGTAGCCCAAACTCTGGACTCAGGTTGTGAACCTCTCTGACTTTTCAGCTCCTCCACGTTCTCCTGTCAGGAACCGTCGGCTCGTGACTTTCAGAGAAACCTTTGGTGTTCAGGCCCAGTTGCCTCACCGGGGCACTTTTTTTTGGTCTCCCCCTCCTCCACCCCTCACCCTCTACCTCTGGTCAGGGTCGATCGATACTTCCCCTGTAGCTTATCACTAATGTGGAACTGGCTGTTTGTCCAAACCCTGCTCTGTCTATATAAAGACTTGGAACGGGACAGCACCAAACCAAAATGCACCACATATCATGAACCTGCAGCTCCGGACGCACCAGTGGACTTTTAACCGTTTGGAAGAGACACAAAGATCTCTACTGCGAGGGGAAGGAGCAGAGAGGAGAGGAGCTGGAGGATGAGGAGCAGGAGAGTCACCAGATGAATCCTGGACAGAGGATCCACTTTAGAAACTTGAGGTGAGAGTGTCTTTGAGTACTTAAAAAAAAAAAAAAAACCTCTATCAATAAAATGTATCATTTCTGGTTGTTCTACAATCTATATGGAGCCTTTATTAATGGGTTTAACTCAGTTTTATTAGTTAAGACGAAACTATGGTGTCATTTTCAGCTCAAAATGTTATATAGTTAAAAGAAGAAACGATACAGACGTATTAAATCCATTGTGACGTGCAGTTTGAAGGTTCTGAGGTAGAAAGAAAATGGCACAGGTGGTATTTTAGTCTTTCTCACACACTTTGAATGCAAACAGCTGCAGTCATCCCCACAATCGGTATAAAAAAAGACATGGACCTTGGACATTTCGGATAAGCCTTGTGTATTTACTTAATCAATGAGTACAACATTATAGTAGATTTGTGTAAAACCAAGTGTCATTTGACATAATCCTTGTTTTTTTCACTTTAACTCTCTCCATTGCTCTTATTGATTCCACAAATAACTTTTTCTTCCTCTTCCTTCCCCAGATCACCCGCCAACCAGCTGGTATTAACAACCCCTCCGTGTGCAGTATCTTCAGTACACGCTTTCCTCCAGAGCTGTGGAGTGTGACAATGGTGTTTGTGTCCTGTGAATCAAACGCCATTATCACACTAAATAGCTCCAGTGTGAAACAGACCTCATGATAGTCCTCAGTTTCCTGGTGTCCACCTTTTTGTTTGTTTTGTGTCTCGTGCATTAGTTGTTATAGTTTCCTCATTACATTTGGCTGACGATGTTATCCAAAGTGACTTACAATGAATGCAAAAACCATTGAGATTCCAGCTCCGAACAACAAGGAGAGTGCAGATATATTCATAGTCATACCTTTGTGAGTGCTGGGGAATTGGGTACAAGGCCTAAGCTAACTCTTTAAAGTGCTTTTATTTTAAAGAGTTCTTGCTGTACAGCCTGAAACACATAGGGGACACACTACACCAGCCTGTGATGCAGTGTTGATACGGCGTGCATGATGTTGAGCCTCTGAGTGTGACCCACTTACTTTGTGTTCGAGGTGCTAACTTGCTGTTAGAGACGTCTCCTGTGAGGATAAATAAAAATAGACGTGCCATTTGTTTTCATGCTGCCGCCATTCCTTGTGTTGTGTCAAACTTAAAAAAAGAAAAATTGTTATGATATAAAGTACTTATATAAAAGTGCCTGTTAATATATATTGATAGACAAAGAAATACCTTCAAACCCAGCTCAATGTTCAATTACAAGCAGGCATTTGCATACAGTGTCAAAATCCTGATCTTTGAAAACTTGAAATGTGATTTGATCATTAAAGAAGAAAATTAGAAAGCATTTTCAACCAGTGACATGTCTTTAATAAAACAGATCTATTGTGTGCTTACATATTTACAATAACCTGAGAACTATGTCAGCAACTTAGGTCAGAAATATAAAAGACAACAGTGAGGGTTTGACGGAGAGGGGTATCATTAAAAAGCTGCTATGGTGTTGAAATGTGGCTCTAGATGTCAGGTTTAGGATTAATTTGAAGCCGTTCACTTTATCTGAAATAGATTATAGATCCTTGAAGGATGTCAGACATACAAATAAAAGTAACAGTCAGAACTGCACCAGACAATACAAAGATATATAAATAAATCTCTCAACCATACTTTATGTGAGGTTAATGTGTACACAATGGATTTTCTGTTGTTTTCAGAATAAAATATGATATTATCCTGAATATCCTGCTTTTATGACATCATAGTAATGTCACATTAAACTGAATATACAATACCTTGCAAACCAAACGCACAAATTCGCCTCTCATACTGAACATAAAAACATATCCTTCACCGTGTGTATTTACAACCTACCTAAAATACATTTTCTCTATCAATGAATTAACAAGTTCATTAATTTAATGAACTAATAGTTTGAAAACATCGCCAAAGTAGAAAAAACAAGAAGAATCATTGCACCTCAAAAATAAAGCAATCTCTAAGACGTCACAGTTTTCAACACAAACTCAACGTTAGCATCGTTTTCAAGTGTTTGTTACCTTTGTCACAGTTTTCCATGACATAAAGTGTCCTCCAATGGATTATAAATACACTCTGAAACAGAAATCATCTCATTTAAATAAAATATATCTCTCAAATGTTCAACACGAGATGAAGAAAATAAAAACTCTTGTGAAACAACAGCTGCCGGTTGTATAACGAGTGAAAAACATCTGTTTTCTCCGTCGTCCGCAGCTCAGAATGACGGAGACCTTTCTGTTATACATATTTTACAGGCCAATCTCTGCATGACTGGAGGAGCAAATCACATACAACCTCAGCTAGTCAATAGAATACTGAAATATAGTCCAAGGTTCTCCCACTACTATGACTTCCCCTTCACTGTCGGCCCAAAGGTTTTCTTCTTGGGAGCAGCGGGGGGCGGGGCTCTGGCTTTGGGGGCGGATGGAGCCTTTCTGGGTTTGGGCTGCAGGGATTTGAGGCCCAGCAGCTCACAGTACATGTTGCACAGGTGCAAAGCTTTGAACTGGTCAATGAAGGAAGTGGCACAGTTTCCTTTGAAGCCCTTGTATCTAAAAAAGAAATAATAATGTATTAATATATCTGTTTGCATGCAACAGGAAACATGCTTTAGTATTGGTCTCAAAAGAAATACTCACCCTTTCTTACAGGTGGCTATTCCCACATCAGTAAGCCTCATTCCTACTCCTGAAAACAAGAGACATTATGATCTTTAGTTCAAATCAAATCCAATCAAACTTGATTTATAAGCAGTTTTCATACACAAAACACTGACTACCCTTTCCCAGGTAATAACCAGAGCAACACACACTGTAGCTTTGTGTTACAAAATAGAACGTTATACTGTACCATCACAGGACTGAATAAAACAATAAATTAAGGGTAACAAGAATAAAGAAAAATGAATAAGAAAAAAAAAAAGAATACAAATAAGATTAAAAAGGAATAAAATAAGAATACAAATAAAATAAGAATAGAATACGAGTAAAATAAGGAATAAATACAATTAAATTCAAAGCCTATATATTGTATGCATTATAAGTTAAAGCAGAATAATTTGCAGATAAAAACAACTTGTGTATTAGTATACATTTCAACCCATACCTTGCATGTCAGTGACCAGCAGGTTGCCGTCAGTCTTGTGGTAGACCCAGTGCTGGAAAGCACAACACTTCTGTCCCGGCTCCGAGTCGCGCCTCTTCAGGTTGATCTCTTTCCCGTCCTTCACTGAATACTTCACAAAGTCACCAATCAGCTCCTGCTCCAGCGTGGCGTACGGGACGTCGTTGGACGGGCGGTGAACCAGGTAGATGGGAATAATCCTGGTGGAAGCATAGAACAAAATGCATTGAGCTCTGAGTATTTTACATTATCTTAAAGCTCAGACCTGTGTTTTGCATTCACTCTACAGATCGTTGTTGTGTGACTCACTCTGGGATCGCTCCGAAGGCCTTCACAGACTCCGCTGCAGTTGTGTACTCCTTGATGTACTCTCTTGCTGTGTTCTGGACATGGCACTCCTACAGGGCAAACGCTCAAATTACAGAACAATATCTTTCTGTATTATAGGGCAAACATGTCAGCAAGCAATACTTTGAATAGACTAGTAATCAAATACACGTACATACAACATTAAATACAACATTTTAAAGGTATTTTAACACACAATTGGATAATAAACATATCAATATAAAGCCACGTACCTCACATACACATTATGTATATTTTGGTGGCACTAATTATTGTATTTTCATTGAAAATTCATGTAAAAAGGTGGCACCTTATAAGCATGTTCAAGTTACAGTAGGAATGCATTTGAGTCATAAATGTTATTCGACGTGATATAAATGTCAACTTCTTAATGAGAATGTTTTGATATTAATTGAAAATAACAAGCCTAAAAACATTTTCATAAAGTGTTTTCTTTCAGAAGCATTTCTAAGGTATTTATGTAAATATATTTTTACAGTATATGCACTTTATTTCATTCCCTACCTCTACAGCCAAGGTGAAGTTCTTCTGAACGAGCTCGTCGTTGTTCTTGGTCCCGTAGCTGATGGAGTTGTGTACTTTGAGCACACAGCAGTGTCCTGGTAGTAAGAGGGGTATCTGACCCGCCTGCATCTTGGTCCGGAAAGCCCGGCGGTGCATCCCCTCCCCAAAGTGAACCTTTTCAGTGATGATGCTGGCAGGCTGGTTCTCTCCAAAACACTGGTCAGACAGGAAATCCTCTTTGAAAATCAGCCTGGAGCACTGGATATCCTCCTCTTCACTCCCAACCTCCACAGGGGCAGCTAATACAAAATACAAACATGTCAGCGGTTGTCCATCAAAGTCCACAAAAATAACCAAATGTGTAAAGAAAGAAACCTTTTTCCAAAACTCACATAAGATGGTCTTTGGAGATGGAGGGATGACAATCTCACTGAGCACTACAAATATAAAAGAAAATACAACTTTTGTAAATGGGGGTGGATACACAATGATTTTCTAAATTGTTGATGAGGTTAAATCAATATGTATACCTTCATATGTGAGCACGTAGTCCAGGGAGGCCGATCCATGTAAACTGGTGATCTGACACTGGTACTTGCCCAGGTCTTTCTGAGAAGCGTTGCAGATGTTCACAGACACTCTGCTCTCGTCCCCTGCACTTCAAAAAAAGGTACAGTGTTACAAAATGCCCCACACAAAACCACTGATTTCTGACCCTGTGGAATTGCAAAAAAAACCTAATATCAAATGTGGGTTCACTGTGGCATTTACATGAATTATATACATTATGGCAATCCAGGATCTATATGGCAACACATTAGAATAGTGTCAGCTGATCATAGCTGCTTTGGTTGCTCCTATTCTTGATTGCTAGAGTATGATGCGAGTGAAGGTAGCTGTCGTTGCCCTGGGATTAGGTTGTAATCTGTTACCTGTTTTATTACGTGGCATGTTTAGTTTTACTTCCTGCCTTTGTCTTTTTCCCGCCTGTTTCCCCCCACACCTGCATTTCATCGGTTGATGAGGCCTTCTGTTTGTTCCTTCAATCAGTTACTTCAGGTTTGGTAGGTTTGTTATCCCAGTGTTTAGCATTCCTTATGTTGGTTTTACTGCTGTACTCTGACAGTTTTCTGAACTTCAGACTGTAAGTCTTTTTTCGTTATCAAATCATTTAAACTCCCCCCGCTCTTCTTCTCCCTTCTCCTCTGTGACGTATAGATAAATGTATACCTATTTTGAAGGTATGGATTACACAATAGTTGCTACTGACTGCTTTGCAAGGATTAAGAGAGAGCAACATGTAAAACATTACTTTAGAATTGCAGGAAATGTATTGTATATTGCTTTTTTAAACTGTAGTGTGTGCTCATGTGTTTCATTGTTGGTGTAGGCTACTGTCTTAATATGATTAGTGAAAGGCAGGTTTTCCTATAAATCAATCCTCACATTTTTTATATTAAATATCTAGATGTATTCTTTTCTAAAATGATATTGTTCTGTTTTCTGTAATAATACACTTAAGTAAAAAACATCGGTACCACTTTACAATAAGACTACCCTTATAAAGGGTTACGAATAGTTTGTAATTAATTTATTAATTAGGTTGTAAACACTTTATAAATCATTAATAAGCTTTTATAAGACATGAGATAAACAGGGCGACTGTGACCAGTTGCTTGCCAAATAGTGAGCCCACATTTATCTGTACTGCTAAGTCTATTGGCTACTTAGCTTACTTCGTCTTCTTCATCAGCCAGCATCCTTGGTATCTGTTGTTCACAGAGTTGATTCTCGCTAAGTAGCCAATATAAGGCTTAGTCATCTTGCCAAATAGTGAGCCTGTGTTGATGTATGATCTATGTTAGAACTGGTTTATAAATGGTTCTTAATGATTAATGAAGTGTTTACAACCTAATTCATAACCTAATTATAAACCCTTTATGAATCCTTTATAAGGGTAGTCTTATTGTAAAGTGGTACCAAAACATATTATTGATATTTCTCTTGTCTTGTTTCGTTGGCATTGCATTTGATATTGAGACAAGCCAAAAGTAACTTAAAGGTCACCTATTATGCAAAATCCACTTGTTCATGTCTCTTCTACATAAACATGTGTCCCCTCTGTGTAAAGAGATTCTGAAAGTTTCAGGAACAAAGATTCTCTCTCTTTTTGATCCATTTCTATAAAAACCTGTCTGAAAATGAGCTGATCAGATTTTGGCCACTTTGTGATGTCATAACGATTTATTGGCTTGTGTAACCATTAGCCAATCATCAACCAAGGTAAACCCCCCCCACCTTATCACCTGAATCTCCTCCTAGAGCACCATGGTGTTCTTTTTAACCAAATATCTCTCAGAGGGGCGTGGGGAGGGGCTCCTTATTTTCATCTAAAGTAACTGACAGAGAATCAGCACTTTTGAAACAGGGCTGAAACAGAGGATTATGGGATGCTACAATGCATGATCTGTTTGGTATTTCGAGCTATACTTCAGAGACATGTATTGTATATATCTGAGACCTATAATATATTGATGAAAGATAGTATATTGGGGGACTTTTAAAGTAACTATTAGATGTAACAGCATCAATTTTAAAGTAACCCTCCCAACCCAAGTTGGCTACTGACTGCTTTGCAAAGATTTAGAGAAAGCAAAATGTAAAACCTTACTTTATAATTGCAGGAAAAGTATTGCAATATTGCTTTTCCCTTTTAGCGTTCTGATAGAAAATGTTACCCTCTTGCCTAGATCCTGCTTCCATATGCAAATATCTCTTTTAAGTGATTTTGCTCAGAGTAATGAATATTTAGTTTTGTGGAAGAAGCACAAAGGCAAACCTGATGCTTAAAATGAACAGTTTAATTATTGGAAATAATAAGAGTACCAATAAAGTTCAAGAAATTAAAACATTTAGTATATGGCTAGTGTCAATGAAGGACTGGAATACATTTCTAATAGGCTATGGGTGTGGCATCATTTAAATGAAAGAAAACATAGTATTGCTAGTTGCAAAATATACTTTAATTATTAAGTATGTGGTACTTGTAGGGGATTATAGTTATCTCGAGTGTTTAAAAGTTGAGATATGTGTACAAATGAACCTATTTTATCTTAAACCTCTGTAAATACCTTCTCTTGCTCTCAGACAGGACAGTGTCGCCTCTGCTCCAGGTGACAGTGTGGTTGGAGAAAACCGCCGCAAACTGACACCACAGGCACAGAGTCTGGGGGTCTCCGCTCACCGACACTGCCTGGATGGGCTGTACCACTTTAATGTCTGCATATGTAGACAAATAATTAGTAATAGGTTTTTTTTACTAATGTGAGATGCATAGTTTGATGTGTATCCCTTACCTTCTTTAGCTGGGATTTTCTGTTTGACCACTTCACTGTACGCCTTCTTGCGAGTAGCTCCAGCATCTGCCTTGGTTTCCTCTGCCTTTGCCAGAATAGAAATGTCTGGCTTTGGTAGTTTAGACTCCAAACCACTGACGATCTTTTCAAATTTGTTCTTTGACAGCCGACGTTTTTTAATGATATCATCGTTCAGAGTACTGGTAAAGTTCTTGGGCTTGTGGTCTTTATGATCTTCACGATGCAGAAGTGGATCTCCATAGGAAGCTTTAGCTTTAGCTTCTGGTTTCTGGGACTTTTTCGCCTCTGACTGATCACTGTCATTTTCAGTTTTCCAAGTTTTACCACCCAGCTTGGCCTCAAACATATCAATCCTTCCTTTTGCAGTCTTTGGTTTTGCGCCATTGTCCACCTCAACCAGAGGCTCCGCTACACTTTTCACTCCCGTTGCATTCAGAGCGTGTTTCTTTTTCTTCTTGCCATGTGGTTTGTTTGGAGCCTTCTCAGCTTCTACAACAGCTTCAATCACCAGTTTATCCTCCTTTTCCTCAGGCCCGACTTGAATGTTCTCACAAATGTGATTTTCCTCAGAAAGAGGATGAGTTTCCTGCTGGGGGGAAACGTGATGAGATAAATGATCCTGTTGCTTTGTAGCTTGTACACCATGATGATGGCCAGCTGTTTTGTCCTTCTTGGAGCGGGCTCTGCTCTCTGAGGTCCACTTGTGGGTTTTATGCGGCATAGTTTCAGCTGTTTTCTGACTTAACTCAGACTGTATGGCTTTGGCGATGGGTTTTACAGCCCTGGGAACAAATGGGTCATTTAAATCTAAAGTGATGAATGCAATGCGGTTCCTCTGTGACACGATGAAATGATCTGCAGGGACATCAGCCAAGTGACAAAGTTCGTTACTGAGGTCATTAATCTCCTCAAGTATTGTTTTTCTCGCAGTGACAAAGTCCGGTTGTTTCTTTGTTGAAGATTTCTCTGCAGACTTTGTTGTATTTTCCTTTCTATGAATCAACTCGTCACCATCCAAAGAAGTTTTGTCAGTAATCCCATCCAAGGTTGGCCAGAGAATGCAGGGTTGTACGTGACCACAACCGAGGTCTGTGTTGTCATTGAGAGAAGCTTGATCTCCTTCCAAAGTGCAGTTTGTCCGACAGACGAGGGAGGAGCAGATATCAAGAAGGGCTAAGGGCATAATAAACTTGGGACTTCCCCTCTCTTGCTCCACCTGACATGGCCCGTTAAGGTCTGGTAGAGTGTCAGGTCGTTTGTGCACATTTGGCACACGTGAGTTTGTCAGAGTGTTTTTAGGGGAAAAACGAAGATCTGATGAAGGTTCTGTATCTTCTCGAAAGACCTCCGCACAGCTTCTGTTGACTTCCTGCTCGACCACAGAGCCCGGCTGGGAGACGATGTGTTCGTATGTCACTTCACACACTTCATCTCTAAAGGACTGGTAATGAAAAAAACAACAACTATTAATTCAAGAAATGTCAAGAAATAGTACATTGTAGACACTAATATGTATTCAATTATCACATGCTTGAGTCAAAAACTGTCATACTGAACTGATAATGGTAAATGATTGTATAGACCTTTCAATAACACTCAAGTGTTGGCATGTTATTATATCAAGGCAGATTCTATAGATAGTAGGTTACTTAATCTCTAAAGGGCTGGTAATGAAAAAACAACAATTATTGAAGAAAATGTAAGGCAATTTTAGGAAATTGTACACTTATATTTATAAAATTATCATATTCTTCAGTAAAAGTCGGTTACACTGAGGATGTTAAATGATCGACTAGACCTTACAATAACACCAAAGTGTTGGCAGGTTATTATTCAAAGGCAGATTCTATAGATAGTAGGTTACAAAAACATGCCAGAGCATTCAGATCCTTTTTAACACATACCTTTCTATGGAGCCACAAAGCAGACGTTTATGAAACACCATGCTTTTATATCCAATCCCACTGTCCATATGTCCTGTATGCCAACCTAGACTGTCGCTGTTATAGACAGGAGCTCCGACTATGCCCTGCACACATAAGCCAATCAAAAGCAGTCTCCTATGCCCACGGACCTCTTGGTGTCCTGATCCTTGGTTTCTAAAGGAGATGCGGTGGGAATGGGTGTGTTAAAGGGTGCACACATAAAGAGAGAGAGAGAGAGCAAGGGAGGGTCATGTTTCAGTCCTCAGCTGTGCCTTCCTCACACCCCTCCACCCTGACATGCCACGGATGCATGCTATTATCATTGAAATCCAAACTATTATTAGATGCCATTTCAGTCCATCTGAAGTTTTCCTCACATGCACTCCCAGTTTCCTTCAGCACACACAGCTGTCAGTCTTTGAGACGGGAGCCAAAGGACTTATCCAATCACACAGAATTAAGCCGAGACATGCAAGGCGTCACGGGTGTAAAATAGGTGGCTCCCATCCAAAGCAGGGTGACAATACTTGTGAGTGTCATGCATCGATATCACTTTTCAGAACTGTACAACTCCTGACTGGCTATCAATACTCTAGGAATGAAAAGACTGACAAGGACAAAGGTGGGAATGCCTTTTAACGTTGTGGACGTGTTAACAAAGCCCATTATTGATTTATCTGGCGCCAAGCACGACTGATTGTTCTCTCAATCGAGAGGGGTAACTCTTTCCACTGCTCTCTCACTGTCTGCCATATATTACAAAAAAAGTGATGTGGACAGGCGCGTGTGTTTGTTAAATACTTTATGGAAGTGTATGGGACAATACAAGCATAAATCTATCTATCTTACCTCTTCAATCATCAGCTCTCCAGGTTTATTTTGTCCCGCCAAATCTGTATCCTCTGTTATATTCAGTACGACCGGATCTTCTTCACTACTGATAAAAGTGTCCTCAAATCCAAAGTGAGAAAGGTCCAGATAAGCAGAATTGGAGCCAACGATCACATCTGAACTGTACCCTCTAGGAAAGGCCATGGTAGCACTGGATGATCCCATGGATGAGTGCTGGTTTGTGGGGCATGCAGAGAGCTCAGCCTGGCAGCTCTGGATCTCCTCCGGCTCCTTTTCATCTTGTGAGTTCGCTGTTGAATCACACAAGGATTCAACGCTCTGGGAGTCCTCTCTGTCTCTGAGCTCAGGTCGTGCAGCTTCGCACAAAGAGAGTAAGCTCTGCCCAGAGAGGAAGGAGCTCTCTGGGATGTTTTGCCCCTCTAGGGGCTGATCCTGGATGCCCATGGTTGCCTGTACTCCTGGCTCTAGACCCTTTCCTTCTTTAAACGTCTCTGTCCTAATATGAGTATTCACCTCTGCTAGTGCCTGTGTTAGAGCATCAATCCCGGCCCCTATTTCTGTAAAAGCGGCTGTAAAGTCCTCTGGTGGAGCTGTGATGATCCCACTCCAGTCTGAGAGTGCACTGGCCCAGCTGTCTATGGATGACCACCGCTCAACTGGTGGCCCCCAACCCCTGGTGTCATCGCTGGACCAGCCAATCCCCTCGCTCCCATCAGGGTTGTAACCTGACACTTTTGTCTCTCCTGGGGGAAAGGAAACGTCACTGGTGAGCTCTCCTTGAATCATATAAAGTCCCGTCTGGTCCCAAACATCCTTATCTTGTGTATCCTCACCTGTCAGATACTGGCATGCGTCCAGCCACAGCTCGATAGGGCTGTCGCTTCGCCTTGTTTGGTGGGTCGAATCAGAGACCTCTGCTTTTCCTCGCCTCCCATCATTTACCGACATCAAGCCTGCCTCACAGGCATCCACAGCAGGTGGTCTTGACTTTGAATGTTGGCTTACGTCTGACTCATAACCCACCATAGCTCGTTCCTCACTCGAGCCGCTATGACATTGTGTCACCACGTTTTCTGAATCACACACAAGGTCACATGTACCGCAGTCAGGTTCTGCCTTTCCTCCCTCTGTGTCTGAAAATGTCCTTTGTCCTTTGTCTTCAGGACTTTTAATCTCCTGCGGATCTACATCAGGGGTCAGGAGGAACTCTTGTGTGTCACTTTCAAAGATATAAAGGTCTGACACAGGTGGTATAGCTGTATCACTCTTTAAACGATCTGACTCATGTGATAACGACTTTAATAGAAAAGTGGCTCGACAGTGTTCAGAGCTTGAAAGAGGCTCAGTGTCAGATGTCTCCGTCGAACTTTCAGAAGTAGAAGATATGGCCCCAAAAAGCTGAGGTGTACCATTGTCTTGTATTAATGAAAAGGACAGGGTTGGTTCTTTTGAAAAGTGAAACTCTGAAAAAGATTCAGAGAGGGGGGAAATCAAATCATGAGAGAAGTGAGGTAATATTGGTAATACAGGTTCTGATGAACCCAAATAGCTACACACTCTGAAATCATCATCCTTTGGTGAAGAATCAGAGCAAAATGGTAAACACTCGGACATATCAAAGCTGGATGATGGGGGCTTCAAGCAGTCTGAGTTGGGGGTTTTCTCCTGATTGAGACAGTTGGCAGTGTTTAATAAAGGCTCAGTTGATTTGACTTTAGGGTCTGAGATATCTAACTCGACCTCTGCCCCTGCTTTTTCTGCGGACAGCATGTTTTCGATAAGACTGTGCATAAGAGAAGGAGCAACTCAATTCTCAGTTAGACAGTCTGTAAGAGCTGGAAGGGAACATGTTTTCTCATCTGTGCAATGGAGTGACAGGTCCATCTTGTGCTGCTAGATTCCAGCTTCCAACTTCAGGCTAAGCCGTGGGACAAATAGCAGGAAGCGTGTTTCTGCTTGGCGTTTCTTGAGACATTTTCTCCCCTGGGTCCAACTGTATTTATTTAGTACCTGCAAAGTGAAATCAGACAGTCAAATAATCTCTTATCTGAGGCACTTGAGTATAGTTACCTCCTTGATATGAAGCATAAGATAAGATAAGAGGTACTTTATTGATCCCAAATCGGGAAATGTTTGCATTGCAGCAGCATAAAAAAACAACAAAGCAAAACAAGGAATATAAACAATACTAGGATTTAAACATCTCAAAATCGAATTAAAACAGCATTAAAAAGTAGACAATATACAGTAGAGAGTGAAGATAACAAATCTATAAACTCTCACAATAAAACACTTTTGAAGGGCTTTAGATACAATACAAAGCAGGCTATTATTTACATTAAGAGTGTAGGGAATGGAATATTAAATTAAATATAAAATGTACAGTGTGTCCAGTTATCCAAAGAGAAGCTGGAGCAGAGAGTTCCCTTCCAGCCAGAGGTGATTTGTTATATAGAGTTATTGGAAGTAAGGTCCACTATCTACCTCTATCTATTTATGTCTTTTTTTTAAATGGCATGTTGCATCTATTTTGGAGGCTTTTAAAGGGCCCTTGACATACCTTATCAACAGGAAACCTTCCTTGTTGTTACCCTGTAGCTGATAAAGATGTCCAGTGTGTGTTGTTGTGCTGTTACCAGACCCAGACTACATTCATTATTGTCTTACACAACTAAGAGGTAGTAAAACATGTCAGGTTCTTCTGATTTAAGTATTTACTAAACAACTACATTGATGCACACATTTTGCATTATACTCCTAACTTTAAAATGTCTTAAAACGCATTTGAAGAAGTTTATTGTTAAGCAGTTTTCAAGTAAATCTAAAAATATAGGTAACCAAAATGACATGGAACTGATGAGTAACACTGGGGTTGATTCTTAATATTTCAGCTGGGTTTCATTACATCTGCAATATTTAGAGACTTAATGTGACTGTAAAAGCACATCTGTGTCTAAAGGGCACCCATATTAGATTCACATTGCCCAACCTAATATACGTGCACAAGCCTGATGTGAAGTGTTGAAGGGGGAGGCTTCAAAACATGCACCCTGATATACAAGTTTGCAGGAGGGGAACCGATGACAAACGACACTGGAAAAATACCAGCACATATTCACCCATGACCTGCATTCGTCACATTCCTGCTGCAGTGAAGGACACCTAGAGCAGGTCTGAAGTGTTTACCAAGGAATACTGATCCTGACTTGACAAACACCTTGGATAATCTGTAAACACATTTCACACAATGCCCAAGATGCAAAATGCATTAAAACATGTCTTAATAATAATGTTATGGATTGTTTTCCTTAAATGAAGCCAATCTGTGTGATATGCCATACACTGATTCCATATTTACCTTTTTCATTATCGTGTGCATACTAATGTCCCAATTCTCTAAGTGGTATCATACTCTCAGAGGCACTTGAAAGGTGTTATATGAATCAGAAATAATTGTTGTTGGCTTGGTTGATTAATGCACTAGATAGGACTTGATCTATAACAACATCAAAAAACAATAAAGCTGTCAGCGCCTGGGTGACTGAGAGCAAGAACTTGTAATTCGATGTCAACTTGGCTCTCTGTGCCAAAATAGATCCGTCCTCAAGCACACAACACGCCCCAAGAGACCACTGCTTCTTTAAAAGCTCTGTATGTGAACAACTTGATTGAAAGACTAGAGCTCGAGTAAATAAGAAACGCGGTTTTAGAAATCAGAAAACGAGAGGCCTCATAATTCAAGACATTCTCAACACCGAGGGCTACAAATAAACAGAAAAACAAACAAATATTGTTGAGTAATTTTAATTTTTAATCATTTTAGGGATTCAAATCTGATGCTTCACAAATTGTATGATATGTTTATAATGCAGCCAAGCCGAGTGTGTCAACCTGTCAGCAGTCAGACAACGCAGTGGAATTGACAACATTTACCATTCCCAAAGGAAGACCACAAACACATGTCTAACAAGTTACATAACAGCTGACTCACACATGATGAAACATATAAATATTACTTGAGGTATTGGAACAGTTGACAGCCTGTGAAGGGCTTTTTCAGCCATGCGTGTAGTACGTACCCTTGTAATAGCCGTGCGGTTGAGGATTCAGACGTGTGTTGCAGGACTTCAGTATGAGTCCAGGCTTGAGCCGGTAGTCTCGGGGTGTGAGTCTATTTTTAAATGTTGTCCCCCGCAAGTACAAAGTTAGATACCTGATATTGCGGACATGTGCCGATCTTGAACATTTAAAACTCAATATCTATTTTTGCAGTGTGTTTCAGTGTTGGCCGTCTTTACAGATAAAGATGTTGACTTGTGGTCATTAAAGAAATGTAACTAAGGGAAGTTTTTGGCTCTTGCCAGAGAGAGAAATCATGAGGAACTTTAGGCAAGCACATTGGAGTAATGTTTTGATGAAACGTCAGGCATAATAAGATATCTCATATGCAAGAGGGAAAACAAAAATGGAATGCTTATTCATTCCCGTCTGTCCTTATCAACTTAACATATAGAAAAAAAAACAATCAAATAAAGACAAACTGTTGATAATCCATTTAAACACAAGGCAGTTTGTATTAGATATGCAGAATTTTTCAAAATCTAAGTAATTCAACTTATTTTGCTGACGTTACCTTATAGGCTACATTAGATTTTGTGAGGGAAACATTTAGCAGACTCTTATCAAATTACATTCAACGGGTGAAAAGAAGCAAAGAAGATGAAAAAATAAACAAACAACACAATGAACACAAGCTAATCCCTGATGATAAAGATGGCAGCTCAGTGTGCAATAAATTGAATGGTCCCCTGATTCTCATTTAGCTGGAAAATAATAATGATTATCTTTTGTCTGTATTGAATTAAATGAAACTAGTGCTCTGTTAATTGCCAAGCTGTCATGTCTTTAAGCTAATCAGAAATCTAGATAAAAAAGATGGTTAGCTTAGCTTAGCATATAGCCTGGAAACAGCTGGCTCGAAACGAGAGAAGGAAATCTGCCAACATGTATTAGGACTGTAATAGTCTAAAAACAATTGTCTAATTTATCATCTTTATATGATAGAATGTAGCTTTTATTGTTTGTTTTCTTACCTTTGGACAGAACCAGGCTAGCTGTTGGTGGTTACAGAAGCTAGCTAGCTAACATGTTAGTTGTCAAAAAACAGTCCAGTAGGCTATGGTATGCTCATGACACTCATTTTTAAATAATTATCATCCGATACAACAGACCAGTCTCTGCCAGTCTTTTTAAAAATTTTTTAATCCGATGACATTATCAGTGATTTTAAACTGATTAATTACCGAAATAACATCAACACTGTGGGCGGCGCCATTTTACCGCACGTGACGTAAACCATGCGTTTGGTTTCGAGGACACGTTGATGTTCATGTTATTTACTGTAGTTACTCTCTTCAAATATGCCTCGCTCATTGTATCGCGAAACATTGCCACAATTCTGATGGGAACAATCCACGGAATGCTCGGTTCCATCTGTTGCCAAAAGGTAAGCGTAGGAAGTACGTTCGGAGGCAGTGTCTAGCGAAATGTGGCCGGCCCGAACCGAAAGATCCACAGACGCATGTATGCAGCGAACATTTCAAGTTTCCGGACGACTACTCTGAGAGTATGATAAAACATAACATGGGATTTATTGAACAACCATTACTTAATGGAGATGCAGTACCATCGGTCTTTCTGGTGTCATCACCGACCAGGACACCAGTTCGGCCAGTTGAGAAATCGCCCTCTGCAAGTGTGAAGCGACGGAGGACCAGAAGTAGTGCTCGGAGTAAGAATAAGGTATGTTATAGCGCATTTCCATTGCAGCGGGCGGCCCCGTTTAAACGTCCTTTATCGTCCAGGCCAGGCCAGTTTTTGGTGGCCTTTCCATATAGCGTAGTACCGGCTAGTGGGTATTTTCCCCCAGTTTTTCCGGCCCCATAAAATCGTGGTTCTAGGGCCAGGGACAACGAGGCTGAGTATGCTAAACTAGAGAGGGAATCGCTAGCAAGGGTGGTACTACA